ATTTTTATACGGCTGTCCAGATGGCCTCTCAGTTTCTGGATTAAGTCAATCACTCTATTTAAATATCAAATTACCGAGTTCAATAACAACAAATGCATTCACTAGTATCCTTTATTAAAAGGCAGTAAGATTGCTTTAAAATGATTCATAGGGGACTATTTCTTGCTATGACTAGCAGAGTGCACGTTCCCACCATAACTTTGTTTCTTTTAAAACTTGCTATTTTGAGTTATTATTATTGTATACTTGATTATAGAATGATTCACTTGTATACACATTTGGAAGGAAAATACATGGTTCTCTACAATTATTTCTAACCACTTTAGAAAACCTGAATTTAATGTGCCAAGATAGTGAATAAGAAGCAGTTCCAGGGCCGACCTTGGATAATTAAAACCAGAACACTTTAAAATTCTTTCTGTTTATAGCATGCTGAGATACAGATTGGAAGAAACAGAAGACAAAGTATAAATAAAGTTTCAGCTCAGGTCAGAACACCTATATGATAGAAAAAACAATAGCTCATGTTTTTCATGCACTGGCAAAATCTACAGGAGCTGTGACTCATTTGGTGGGTTTTATGCACAGCCTCAGAGCAACTTCTAGAGCCTTCTCCTAGGCTACTATCATATGGTGATTTAAAGACTAAATTGTTTTGTTTAGAAGCTTTGTCCCAATTTTGTTAAAAGTCACTCCTGAAAAAAATAAGACAGAAGCATAATATAATCTGAATGCTCACCAAGGTAAGATCATCAGGTACTCTCCTAAATGCTTTCATTTGACATTACCAGAGTGTGGAGTCAAAAAAGTCTGTCTTCTCTCTGTTTCAAGCAAAGCAGTAGGTGAAGCCACTGCCTCTTGAAGCTTGCTGTTTATCACATTGGGTTTCATCTCTTGCTTTCATAAGTAAGACAAGAAAAGACAGATGTGTTCTAGGAAGATTATTTACAACAGTTCTGTTTGTCTTAGTCTTCTCTGTCTCGGACTCCATGGGACCACCAAAGCAGATGAAAACATTATAGTGCAGCTGATGAATTGAGAAGATGGGTCAGTTATCAAAGGATTTCTTCTACAACTTGTTTCACAAAGTCAAAAGGCCAGAAAGTCAGTGTTTAAATCTCTTGACTAGGAGTCAGCTTACTTACTTTTAGCCAGGCTTCTTAAGAAAACAAGGTTTTGGTACGCAACAAAGAGAGACAATGGTCACAAGTTTTAACAGGATTCCAACTATGGGGAAAGAAAATTCACCATGAGCATGGTTAAGCACACAAATATATTGTACAGAGATGTTGTGGAGTGTCCACCCTTGAAGATATTCAGAATTTGACTGGACAAGGCACCTTACCTAACTTGGAAGTTAGTCCTACTTCAAACAGGAGGTTGGACTAGAGACCTCCACAGGCCCCACCTAACCTACCTAATCTATGGCTCTGTGCAATCACACTGTCACCTAGTTACTTCTGAAGTGATTTGCCAGTTTCAGAAAAACCTGACTGACAGATAAGAAATACAGACATTAAATTGTTAGAATTCACTTTCATGGCATGCAGTCCTTGAGAGCTACTGCTTTTTTTTTTTTTTTCCTTTTCCTTTTTGGCCTCCCAAAAAGTGAATTTTGTTTGGCTCTTGCTGGCCACATAGCTCAACTTTTGAGTCAGTGATGTGACATTCTACCTTCTACCTTGCTGATAGTCAAATAAGAGCAGGTACAGGATTTTGGAAGGGAAGACTGTGCAGATGGAGGAAGCCTATACTTCAGTTATGGTATGCAAAGTTACTGGAAAATATAGCTTTGTAAATTCTGCTGACAGAACTATGTGCTTCTTTGTAAAGTAGGTAATTACCTAAAGCAAATGCCTGGAACTTTAAAGTACTGGAAAATACTTTTAAATATTTTGTATGCAAGCCATCAAGAAGAGAAAACAGTATAATAGCTGCACGTTGAGATACTTCTGAGATGGAAAAACGTTATGAATAGAAGTATTTGTCTACAATCTCACTTTGCTTCCAAAGTACAAAATACAAAAAATATATAGTTCATCTCCCTTTTACAGTCACATAAATGGGGACATTGTGTAGTTGGTGAATATTCCGCTATAGGTAACAAGGAAAACACATATAGTGGATGCTAGGATTTTGGTTTTGTGGGGTTTTTGGTTTTGGGGGTTTGTTTGTGGTTTGTTTGTTGGGATTTTTTTAAGCACTCCAAGTACTTCTCTTCTATATTATTATCGCCATTATTCATGGTGACAATAAGCCACTAGTTCAATAATACCCAATCAAAAAAATTCAGATACATGGAATCAAGCTCCTTTAAGTCATGCCATTTTGTTAAAAAATACAAATAAAATTAAACTTGGGGTTCTCAAGTTTATATCTTGACTTTTGAATCATTAAATGACATTCTTCATCTTTTCCAGCTTTCCTCCAAAACCATGAAGATAAGAATAGTAGTGTTTTCCAGTAGTTTCTGACATAATTGTCTGAGCCTAAGCAGAATCTGGGGCTCTGAACTGGAGCACTATGCAGCACAAAATACACTGCAAGCTTTCAAGAATGGGTAACAACTCTTTGCATTATAATTACATGGAGCTTTAAACATATCACAGGAAAATTACACTACAATGGGCTAGATTTGTTGTTTGGACTAATACCAAAGTAGTATCTTCAACCAGTTCAAAGATGCATATGAGGTCCTTCTTCTGAGGAGTTCACAATTTAAAGTCTAATGGAAGAATCTTGCAAATACACACATGAGATGTTTACTAGTAGCCCAATTTTACACCTATCTAGGAGGTACTGAAATACTTAATAGCTTGGTTTCATTCTACTGGAGCAATTCATTTGGATTTAAACGTTCTCCTGCCAAGTCAGCAGTTTCAGCATCACAACTTTGTACTGGTGCACATGACAAGAAGATAAGATTGACTAGCAAGAAAACTGGAATTAGTTACTGTTCTACCATTTTCCAGGACTAGTGAAGCCCAGAAAGTAAACTAGTTAAAAGCCAATTTATGCAGCTGAGCTTTACATTCAGAATGTATTTAGTGTGAAGTAAAGCAGCAATGGCACTGCGTATCTGAGTGGTTCTTTGGAACCAAATGTAGAGAGCGAACAAATACAGCAAATCTATCTATGGGCTATGAGGATTCTCATGTCACTTCTAAAGCTGCATTTAAGAGACTCAATGAAATACTCACCCCAAGACACTTGTTTTTAAAGGAATATCCTTCTTAAGTAGGAGTTTGATTTTCATACTTTGCTTTCAAAAAATATTTTTGGTCAGACTACAAAACCTGAAAAGCTTCTCCTCAGAACTGGATGCAAAAGGTTTGGGTTCTATAAGCTAGAGATGTGGAAACCAGGCTGGTGGTTAAATTTTTTAAAGGTTATACTGCATGTTAAACAGTTTCTTCCTTCAATTTACAAGGTAATTGTAGTAGATATAAACAAAAATGTATATATGGAAGAACATTTCTGTAAATTTCCAACTTATTGTTACTGTATTTTGAATATTTAATTTTGTACAATCCCCACACGTCTATTAGCTGTTATCTTTGCTACAGAATGACTCTACACTCCTGCTTCCAGACAGGATTGAGCACTCAGATAATAGGGTGGCAAGGACCATACGTGCTACAAGACCATTATCTTGGTAAGCAGAACTATAACTAGTAACTGTATTTGAAAAAACATGAACATGGCTGTTCATCTGTTCAGCAGAGAAACATAAGTCCTATGAGCCATAACCTGTGGTAACTTTTCAAATGATATCAAAGGGCAGCTCAACCTGGGACCTTTGGTACATAAATGTGAATACAATCTACTACACAATCTATTTAACTTTAAAGACCACCTCCCTCCAAATACTCTGCCCTGGCATTGAAGATACTAAGTCTATTTGCTTCTATTAAAAAAAAAAAAAGAAAAAGAAAAAGGTGGGATAACAAAGCATTTTCTGCATAGGATTCTCAGCTCTGGGGTTTACTTAATCCTTTGCACTGTAGCTGCAGGGCCTATGTATAGACTGCAGAAGCAAAAAGAATTGCTTTGTAGCGTGGACACACTTTCGGTTTACAATGGTTGACACTGATTAGGCACTTCACCTCTGATTTGCTTCTTACTGTCTCCCACAGCAGACCCGACTCAGCACTGCTACCCACTTCAGTGCAAAGTGTTACCTGACATTGGGCACAGTGGGGGTTAGAGCTGACAACTCTGACTTTGCACTGTGGTCAATCAGGGTCATCCCTCTGTGGTGTAATCAAAGGTGGTAGAGGCAAAAATACTAGGTCAAAGAGCAGTAAGCACTGTTCAAATTGTGCAAATATTATGGAGAGGGTTTAATGTGCAATCAACATAAAAATGTAATACTGAAAACACAAAGTTACTGGCTCAGTCAACTCCACGAAGATCAGAGCACCTTCAGGAACATTTACACTTTTCTCTTTAAAATACATGAGATTATTCAGCAGTGCTTTTGTATCGTATTTCTCCGTCTAAATCCAGAAGACATTTGTCTGTGCTATTATTTTGTGGAAACATTTAACTTAGTACATCAAATGATTTACTTTCATTAAAAAATAATCCAGGCACCAAGCCAGGAAACATGAAATTATTACTCTACCCTTAACTGGTTTAGTGGTAGACTTGGTAGTGTTAGGTTAATGGTTGGACTGGATGATCTTAAAGGTCTTTTCCAGCCTAAATGATTCTATGATTCTATATGGAGTTTTTTTGTTAAGTACATCAAAATAACAAAAATGTTTCAAATTGAACAAATTTGAACACAGGAAAGTCAAACATACTGAGCTCTGACAAGCTTCATAATTGGGTCATTTAGATCTATCCAACCCATCAGCAGAGTCATCATTTTTCCCTCTTTCCCTCCCCACACAAATCAAATCCATGTCACCTACTTTCTTTTTCCTTCTGTATCTGTTGCATAGCCCTTGCACACCCCATAGGTTTTTTAGACAGTTAAAAAAAAAAAATCTTACTCTTAAATTCCCTGGTAACAGCTGCTTCTCTTTCAGTGCATAGCAATGTTTTCACAACTTCTGTTTGTGGCAAGGATGAGGTTTTTGGCTGCATATTGCTCAGGTCAAAGCTCCCAAGAGGCTGAGCAACGGAGACAGTACTGGGACTCTGACGGTACTGGTTGTGGTTGCTGGGGTCCCTCATGATAAAATTCTTTCCTGAGAACATAAAAAGATCAAGACAACTTTGTCCTAAAAACAAACAGTATCATTTAACACTGGTGGTTTAATGGTTTAATGCTCAGAGCAGTTACGCTTTTTCTTTTTCTTAAAGGTAAATGCTGAAATTTTCACTTAGCCTTACACCACATAACATGTTAAGGGCAGACTTTCCTCTGCTCCTTTACCAGTCCAGCTGTAGCTGCTGTAAGATGATTGAGACATTCTCTTTTTTTAAAATAGATGTCTTCCTTGGCAAAATTACATTAGATGCCACACAAATCTAACTTGAGAAGTAGCCTACTAAATGTATGTGTGTTTCACTGCTTGTCTCAAGGAAAACAGAAACATAAGATATATCACATATGATCACAGTAAAATTATTCTCATTTGCTTTCATGCAACCTTATTGAGCTCAGCTGCTCATTGTATGCTAGATACCTGAAGTAAAACTAACATAAACCTTCTGAAACAGCTCCCATGGTTCAGCCACTAAGAAATCATCTGAATTCCCCTGAAAACAATCTTTACTCCACACAACTTTGAGGTCTTTCATAACTAAAGGTGAGCAAGAGCTGTTCTAATCTTTATAGGTGGCTGATGGTTATTAAAGGCAGTAAGGGATTGACAGAGCACAAGAATTGCACTAGTCATGTCATTTTCCAAAGACCATCTTCCTGAAATTGCCATCTGCAAAATGAACGTACATATCATGCTTACTGTAACAACTGGATATGCTTTTATTTTAAGCCACTTTGCTGGAATTTCAATGTTAAATATCTAACACTGACATCTGCTCTGCAACTGACATCTGCTCCTCAGCTGACATCTGCTTCTGAATCCTTGTTATTCTTGGTCATTTTCGGTAAACATTATGTCATCATTACATGTATCAGAAAGCACAGAGGAATAAATTCCAAGCCATATAATCACTGTTTCTTCTGCTTTCCTTCATACAGATAGTCTAAAAGTACTGTTTATTTTCTTAATATTTAGTTTTCACTCAGACTTCAACACATTAATTCCTGCTTTCTGCTACTGTGGTCCTAGAAGAGACTAAAGGCTCAGACTCAAAGGGGGGACATAAAGTGAAATTTAGTTAGGATTTAGATGACTAATTCCAAAATTGTAATATTCAAAGCTTGTGTTAAATACCTGCATTGGTCTGGGACTGCTTTACTTCATGGGCTCCTCAAGTTTTTTTGCATTAATATTCCTTAGGTACCTAAAATTCTGCTGCCATACAAACCTGCAAAGACCTTAATCTCAACCAAGCTGAAAAGCTGGGACATTTCTTATGCTGGCAGCCACAGAACAGCAACTCCTTCACCTGTCTTGCCTAGGGAACTTGATTAGGGTAGCGGTTCTTAGGGCATGCTTCCTAAATTAGGCTCTATACAAAGTTCAGTGGTAGCTGCTTCTTTCTGTTAAAAGACAGCTAGATAAAGCCATTGCCTGTAGCATTTTCTTCTCTCTTCCCCATCCTCTTCATACAGTAGCTCAATGAACACTGAGCTAAGATATGGGAAGCTGGAAGGAGTGTGGGGGAGGGGTATTTAAAATAATAGCATTCTCCTCCAAAACCACTCAAATTATCATGCCCTAGTCTTCTTTTTTAACGATGCTCTGGGATGCATAGAAAAAAATTCAATTCATTAATACAGGAAGAAAAAAAGAAGACTGATTCTTTACAAAAGCAGGATAAACTTCTACTATAAAATACACAGAGGCTGCAATTATATTAAAGGGATAAAAGACTGCCTGGGAATGTCCCCAGGCAAACATCACAGCATAGCTCACATCCACACCAACAAGCTTTCCTATGCTTTCGAGCAGGCTTACTGCAGGCAAAGTGCCTGTTGGGAACAGCCCTTGGAACAAGCCAACTCCTGAAGCTGGCCTGGAAACCGTTTGGGAGCTGCCCAATGCCTACAACTGTTCTCACAATACACCAGTGCAGGTTAATCCTCTCCTGGAATGATTTAAGGCACAGTTTAATTTCCTACTATATATCTGGCCATATAATACCTGAAATGGAACTGAAACTGAGAACACACCGGCTTTCCCTCCCTCAATTTCTAACCTAGGGCTAATGGTTAGGCATTACTGTGATCTTAAATTACAGGTGACAAAAGAACCTCTTTAAATACTCTTTCCAAGATTACTTTGGGCTATTTGTGAAAAACAGGGGGAAAAAAAAACCCACTTAACTGATCTTCAGGCTGATTTCTGTCTGTCAGGAGCATTTTTTGAATAAATGGATTTCTCTGTTTTAGAAATTACAATGTTTATCATAACGTTTCCACAAAAGGAGTAATTTACAAGAACTAGTGAAATATTCAAAAGCCTATTAAAAAGTTAGGAGACTAAATCCATTTCAAGTCATTTATACCTGGTATAAACTTAAGTTACTGAAGTAGGGCAACGTAAACTTGTCATCTAGATGCTCTTAGCCTGAAGCAAATACCAGTAGAACATGGTAGTCTGAATATCAAATTAGTTATTTCAAATTATTAGCTTTTAAATTACTTTTAGTATGTTAAGAACAGACCAAGCCTGGTACCCCAGTTCATGTGAGGTGCAGTGTCTCATCAAAATAACGGAATCAGTCACAAAAAGCTTTTCAGACTCCAAGTGCAACTGGGTGTCAAAGGGACTTGGGTTTCCCTGGGAACATATTACTTATCAAAATTAGGCTGAACTTCTTAAGTCTGCCGGGCAGTTCTGAAAAAATTGTTCAATGTCATTTTGTCATATCAATGCACTCTGTATCTTAAAACTGTTTATTTTTAGAGAATTAAATACTCCCCTAGTTATTACTATTGCTTGGGCATACTGGGATTTCCACCAACACAGATTATTTAATGTGATTTTAAGAGGTACATGCGATTAAAACTTAGGCTAGTGTATCGGAGATGCCAACATAACAAAAAAGCATTAAATTAGCTTATTAAACACTTTATATATTAAATATTTTTAATGTAAAATGTTACATAAATATTTTTTACATACCAGTGAGTCATTAGTAATTATTCTCATCACACAACCAATTTATGGAAGAAAAGAAACGTACTTTTTCAGAAATCATGTGTAAGTTCTGGCACTATTTTTCAAGCCCAAGATCTGCGATAAGCATGTAGCTCAGAAAAAAAATCAGAAAGCAATAGAGGAATTTGGGAATTTGAGCTCTTTAGAAATCACTTTCTGCTGCTTTCAGTCATGGTGAATATTAGATTTTAAGTGGTACATACCCAAAGGCTCTCTTTCTTGTGATGGTAATTCCAAGTCACTAGAAACTGACACTTCTTCAACAAGAAATTTTGACAACTGTGTCCCAAGATATGTAACCTGTACAAACAAATCTAAATGGCTAACTGGTCATTTTAATTAGTGTTTTTTTCTGATAGGTGTAAAAATTTCACTTTTCTTACAAAACTGAGTTTACACACTTCACAGTCTAACCTGTGTCTGTCAAGATCAAGCAGAAATTCTGCCAATTTGAATTCTAAATGAAAAAAACATAATATAACCCATCTGCAAAGCCCTCTAAACTCTGCCAGTATTTTTGCAACATTTGTCCTTGACACCCTGACATTTCAATAAGCTTCTCCTTTTTATTCTAACTACCTTTCAGCTTTGTCCGTCAGTCTCTTAATCATCTTTAAAACCACTCTTTCAAAGCACTGACAGCTTACAGAGTGGGCATTCCACATTCTCTCAACACTCATGACTAGTTCATCACTGTAGAGCCACAGTTATGTAGCTCTTTGCTACTTATTCATTTAGAGTAAGAAGACTTTTTAAAATTTAGGCTTGTACCCTCTTTTGCTTTAAGAACAATAAGGAGATCCAGATTCATGAAATTTGTTATTGCCATTTATTATTGCTATTTTTAAAATCAGGGCTACCTTATTCCACGCATACTTCCATGTCACAGAAATGTCACTTCCTAGTAGGTCTTTAATCCACTGAACTGGATTCTGGAGTATTTGTCTCTTACTGGTTCTGATCTTGCCATTGTTTAAGAGCGTGGCTTTATGACTAAATTCCTGAAAAAGATAAATAAAGAAATAATTTTCAACTCATAAATTAATATCTGAATTAACATCCTTAAAACATGAAAAAGTGCTGAAGAACAATATAGCTGAAAAGTTGCAGCTAATTCTGTTTTTCTCTGAAAAAAGCTAAAGAATTTAATGCCACTATCATAAACTGTGGTATGTAAAATAAGAGGATTTATTCCACCAGAATAAGATGTTTTGGCCACACAGCACTACTGTCATAGGACAAATCTCCCTATGTGTGTTTATCAGAACTGTACTTGCATTTTAGTTCTTCTTAGACGTAAAAAAGCTGCACATAAATTATTTTGCAATAGTGAACTCAGAAACTCACAAGAGGCAAGTCTGTGCACCAAGACACTGTTACTCAAACACAATCTGTCTTACATGTGTGGAACAAAGTATGTCACAGTGAAATTCCAGCAGTGATTTAAAGATGAAACATATTTGCATAAAAACTTCACTTATGTCAAGGGACAACACTCACGTGTTTTAGGAGGAATGTGGCAGCCTTATCTTATGCAAAATTAAGTATAAAAGAATTTGTTATTACTGCCTCTTTGATAATGCTAACATAGCCCAGTTCTGCAAACATATATGCACATCCAGAAGCATGGCTTATAGCTGTTTACAGTTCAGTAAATTATGGTTTTGTTACACTGGTCTCAGTTAGGCTAACACAGCTAAATAACACAAAAATTAGCCTTTGGTAAAGTATGTTAGAACTTAGTAAGGTTGCTTAGCATGAGCAAGGTTAAACAATCCGAATAAGAGAATGATCCACCAGCAACCTCCTCCTACCATATCCACTGGCTTGGGGTGTCTATAAAAATCTAAATTAAGATGTTTAACCCAAAGATTTTAATGAATGCTCAATCCAGTTCACAGTTTCATAGCTTAGGTCTACAGCATTCAAACACTGCATTCTGCCTGCCCAAAGCTAACCTTAAGTAAGGACTATGTGCTAGTTGTATGTTGTCATCAAGTACATCTCTAAAATCATAAAGAAGGAGACTTTACTGATCACCTCCTCTCTGCAATGCAATAGACACTGACTTCTAAACTTCAGCTTCTCTAGCACTGTCTTCCAAGACATAAATGAGTGTCATTTTCATTCTAGTAAAACTCACTGACCTCTCTACACTCCAAACATCAACATTTCAGTACGAGTTTATAATTCCTTAAGATCCACATGCATCAAGCTGGTATCACAGATAACAGTCTTGAGAAATGACAGTAAGCATACTGCATTCTTCATCCTTCAATTCAGTCATCTTGAGGTTCAGAGGAATATTACATGTCCTTTGAAGAAGTGTATGTATATACCTATGATACGGCCCAACATAGAGGCTTGCAACTTACTCATGCTGCCTTAAGTTACAAAACACAAGACCACATGAAATGGCCACTCTCAGCAGAAAAGCCCTCCCGAGCAGATTATAGGTGCAGAAAAAGGAGTCTTTTCTACATTAACTACACCTGGTGAGTTGGCCGAAAAGAACCTTTCATGTTTTAATCAATATGTTGCCCTGGAAATTGACTAGCTCACAGCTGGGAATTCAGTCAATAATTCCATCATTTGCTCAATACCAAGCCAGTCACCTGGCAGCTGCCTTGCAAATCTGCTGTGTATTTGGAGGCACAGGGACACGCTCTCGTATTAAAAAAAGAGGGTTGTTTGGGGTTTTTTTCCCCCGAAACATGTAAAGACTGTAAACTATAGAACCAGCTGGCATGTAAGCAAGTAATTTTGCATATATTCATGTCTATCAAGCACTATGAAATCCTTGCTGTCACAGTTCTTTATTTGAGGGACTTGATAGCGCTTCCAAGAATCACATTAAGTCATAAAAACCTTAATGTTCCCACTCCTTCCAATATGAAAATCAGGTATTACACAACGTAGACCAACCAACAATTCCACTCTGGTTCTAGCAATAGGAGATGTTAACAAACTGATAATGCAAAGTTAAACACACATTTTACATATACAGTATTCTGGGTGTTAAAATTATGGGCTGACAGAAGACATCATCCATAGCATTTTTCTTTAAAACTCATAAAAGATTATCGGTAACCAATGAATAAAAATTTTCAATAGTAAGTGCTGAAGATGCAGAATAAACAATGAGAATTGCTGTTTTCCCATTTTAGTCATGGGTTTTTTTCATTACATGCTAATATTAACACTATTATATCTCAACAATTACCTGCAGTTTGAATTCTAAAACATTTTCTCCTGGCTTAATCCTTCCCAATTCAAGTAGATCTATCAACTGAAGCTTTCTCCGATTTTTTGTTCCATACCTCACTTGTTTTTGTTCACATCCTTGATTACTATAGCTCTGGGAAGATTTCTCACTGAGGTTCACTGGATAATCTGTATCTGAGGCAAGATTTGTAAGCACTGAGTTAGCATTAAATGATTTCACACTACTGCTACAGATCATTTGCTGCAGAGTATTAGGGAAGTTCTTTGTAGATGTTGACAAAACTACTTGCTGTTGCTGCTGGAAAGCTTCTTTCTTATTTACGTATCTGTGTAGATCCTCATCTGTAAGAACCTGCTGGCAGTCACTGCCTGGCTGGCAGGCAATGTTATCGACAATAGTGCTTCGGGGTTCTACAATGTTTAATGCATTGGTCACTGAAGTGGGATTTAAAGACTTGTTTCCTTGTTGTGCAATTGCTACACAATCAATGTCTTTTTGCTGTGAGCAGTTTGTTTTAGCAGTGGAAACAGTAGGTTCTGAAGGCAATGTCATCATTTCTACAGCATTTGTCAGTGTTGACATGTTGTCGAAGGGATATCCTCTTACGCTGTTTTTGGATGCCAAAGCATGATCAGAAGCCTCTTTGCTTCTAATTGCTTCTTTATTTGCTCCTGTCTCATCCAAGCAGATGTGTGGATGTTGGCTGCATTCCTGAGCTGAAAATCTATTTTCTAAAGAGAGATGTGCTTCTACTCTGTTTCCATTAGGCATGCTGGCACCAAGCCCCATACTAAATGTAACTACATCAGGACACATGATTTCATCAGCAGTTAAACTTTGTCTTCTGTCATTTCCACAGGAAATAACCAAGTTTGAGATTTGCTTCTCTGAACGTGATGCACTGAACAATTGCCTTGTTTTTCTGTAATTCTGTATTTTCTGGACTAATTCTTCCTGATTTTCGGCAACAGTTAACAGACGCTTTTGCCTAGAAGCAAAGTTAACTAGTTGTTTCCTCAGTGCTCCTTTTTTAAAAGATTCCACTGAAGCCCTATAGAAAATAAAAAAAGTAATAATAAGGACACCAGAGTTACTGTAAACATGAAATAAAAACAGTTTAATGGACATAACCCACTAAGAACAGGAATATGTTTCAAAGGACTCTGCCAACACCTAAAATTTGAACAATCTTTTTATCATGTGTAAAGTTTATCGTTCAAATCCCAGGCTTATGCACAACAAACTGCAGAAACCTGTCTAGAAGTAAGATGCAAAGCACCAAAACTTCAGTAATAGCCTTGTCCTGCTATACCATCCTTTACTCACAGAATTGAAACTGGGTCTGTATTATCACTGGCTGCTCTTTTATCAGCACAAATCACAATAGTTCACTGAATTCAATGCCTTTGCAGCTCTAATTTGGAGCCTTTTAAAATGAGCTCAGGATGAGCTACTGAAGGACGGATACTATCAGAAAGCTTTTACTGTGTACACAACAAAACGTTTTGTGAAGCCTCAACTATAATACCACATGACCGTTAAGAAAAGAGGACAGAGCACTTCAGGATGTTGTCTGTTAGTTTGGGAATGTCTCTCCCTTCATCAGACCCTGCTCCCTAGCTGAGCTGGTCTCCCTGTGAGACTCCTTCCCTGGGTGACTACCTCCTTCCTGCTGGAAGGGAATTCCTTATTTTCCCCACTTCCTCTGGCACAAGAGCCACCAGCCCAGCATAATACTCTTTTCTGCTAATTCCCCCTCATGGGACAAGTGATTGCACTACCACTCTGGCACCATGCTGGGAAGACAGAAGAGTACCACAAGGTGCAGGAAAAGGAATAGCAGCATGGTTTGCTTTTAACTCCACCCACAGCAGAGCTGCCATGCAAGTAACAACATCCCAGTCCCAGAACAGAGACTGTTGATGGGATCAGGACAAAGGTACAGCAAGACTAGTTGGTGCAAGAAAAGGACAGCCAAACCACAGCGTGGCAGTATTGGTGTCTGTACTGTGATATTGCTTGCTATCACATGCGTTTAGAATCCATTATACGATCAACATAGCAGCATATAGTCGATGACTGATATGAGTAAGCCTTGACAATTATGGACTCCTACACAGGCCAGTGAGGCTCCACACACTTTTCTAGCAGTGTTTCCTCAGGGATGTTTTTTTGCTTTATTGCTATACAGGTACAGAAGCAGCTGCAACTGAAGAGGCAAAGACAGTGTGACTAAAATGACAAAGGCAAAGTAACCTACAGTCACTAACAAATATGATGCTTTTTTTTTCTCATTTTTCTTAGGTGAGAGATACATCTTAATACCTTCAAAAGAACAGACAGAAATGGAAAAGCATTAGTATTATCTCTCCCTGGGCCAACTAACTGAACAACAGAAATATGGAAAATATGGTGATGCCTCCTGATCTTCTGTACCTTTATGTATTGTGTCACGAAAGATTATACGCTAATTAGTTAAAAATAAAATGTTCACCATATAAATAATAAAAAAGAAATTTAATGTAATTTGGCATGTAGCTCATTACTGTTGATGGATAGCTGTTGCATTAGCTGCAGGGTATCTGCAATACCCAGAAATATTTATCACTTCGCTCTGGAACACAGTTTCACTTTCAATATCAGGAGGCAGATAAGTTTGTGTAGATATTAGTTTTACCATTCTTGTTTCTTAATTCAGTCACTAGTTTGTTCACAGGGATGATGTGGAACACTAACTTATCTTCACATAAAACCCTCTCTTTTTTTTTTTATTATGTGTGTCATGTATGCATCTTACATTTTATAGGTGGCAAAATGGTCTGTGACAGAAATGCTTCAGTCTCTTTGCTCAACCAGCCTATATGTTTTGCCATGGAACTACCTGAAAGCTGTACACTGTTGCTTTTACACAACCAAATGAATACTGCTCACACAAACAATATGTAGACATCCTCATCAGATGGCCTAGAAGCATCCACTGAACACAATGCTACATTGTTAGCTGACCACTCACCACATGACCAGCCTTCAGGTAGTCCCTCTTAAAGGAAGTAAATAGAGGCCTTGTGAGAACTAGTAGAGCAGGAAGCTGACAATTCACATAGTCCACGCTCATAATGAGGTGAGCACTCCCAGCTCACATTTGACATGTCCTCACAAAAAAGTAACGTCTGCAAGCATGCTTCAAGCTGTTGCTCTAAATGGCTCTTGTGGGCTGTTGGTTGAACACTCCCAATCTAGGGGTGCTAAAGAAACAAAACCAGAGGCAGGGACACTAAAAGGAGTGTCTAAGTTGCTACTGCTTTCCTCCATGATGCTGCAAAAGTAATCTAATTGCTCAGTACCTCCATTTCCTAATTTCTGCTTGGGTATTTTTCCACACCTTTTGTAGGTTCACTACCTAATTTCAATGCTCACTGTGTGCACAGTAACTGATTAGTATGTGTTAGCTAAACTCTGAAGTTCTTCCTCAATGTAAACACACACTGGAGGCAGCTGAAGCCAATATGGATGATGCTTCTGCAAAATGTGAATGAAAACCACATAGTTTTACTTTCACACTATTGTATGCTAACCTCCTAACAACCTCTGTCACTACTGCTATAAATAAAAGCTTCCTATAAATACAACCCTTGTATTCTACTTACCTGTATTTTTTAACAAGGGTATCCCTTTCTGTTTTCTGTTTTGCAAGCAATTCATTCAAAGTATCTTGCATCTGAGACAGCCTTTGGATATACACATCTGTCCAGTATTTTGATATAATTAAAATTGATGACGGCAATAAGAGTAGAAAATAATTATAGTAATAACATTTTAAATGTAGCAAATACACAGCCAAAGTATGAAAATATTGTTACAGCAGTACCTTATACTGTCATGCACACTGATAGCTCTTTACAAGCAGACTACTTTAAATGACATTCTTCATAGAAAGAATTAAATGCAAGTTCAACTTAAAAGGAAATAGCCCGAGTACTGGAAAATTTTGAAGTGCAAGTGCGTTGTCTAGGAAATTACTAAGAGAACAGCACAGATTAAAGAACTGTCCTATGGATGATAAGTACTGAAACTTTTGAAGTTCCTTGTGTTGCAAAGAGCTACATAACATGACAATTATATGTGAGGCTACCTGCAGATGTTACACAATCTTAAGAAGGTGGCTAAAACCTGTACGTTTGAATATTATAAAATAGTTTAATGAGCTTAGATTGTTCCAAGTTACATATAATGGTAAGACATATGTATCATAGTTTTATATAGTTTCAAATCCATATTACAAAAGAAAATGAATTATAAGTTGTCCCTTTTTGTTAGCTATATTTTCCTAAAATAAGAAGAGCGATTATAAATTCTTCTTTATATGCCCTATCTCTTAACCATACAACATAAGGGAGATGTCAGAAGTCATGACCAGCAGATACCACTGGGGAAGTATGCTAAACACGTAATCTAATTCCTGAAATTCTAAAACAGGAAATATGAGCTTTCCATAATCATGAAAAATGTGAAATTACAGGATAAAAATGACATTTATAAAATGTTTCCCCAAACCTGTTTCATAGTATCTACCAGTATTCCCTTACTTATTAAAATAGAAAAATATGAAAATGCTGATCTTATTAAGGCACCTTAACAGGGAATTTGAATCTATTATTTACCGTAGATTGTACTGCATGCAAAAACCTTAAGGATTTTATTCTATGTACAGGTTTGTCAATGTACTTCTATGTCCTTGTTCAGTCTTGTGCCTCTTCGCAAGTAATAACAATGATTTAGTTTAAGAGGTGCTAGATTATTAATGCTTTTATCAGTAGTGGCAACAGATCACCACGTTCATTTCTCTCATAGCCCTAAACAGGCAAAGTCTGATAGTTTTATTTTGCTCTTTTATAAAATTGCACTGATCTCTGTCTATAGGTTTCTGCCTATAGTATCATTTACCTGCTTGTCAAATATTTTTCAAGAAAACATATTGCTTTTAATTAACAGTTCATACACCATAAATTTGAGATGGAAGCTATAAATCTGCATAATTCTATATTACACATTTATTTAAAAATTGACTTTTAAAATTATACTTTAAGGGATAAATTTACTATTTTAAATATAATTTGAAACCTCCACCCTATATTCAGGAAAACAAACTTTAAAAAACCCCTTCCGTTCTGTCAGGAAGCAAAACTGTTTCATGGGCATGAGCTGCTCCAACGTAAACAGCCCTTCCTACATGGCAAGGGCAGCCAGGAAAAGAGACTTTGGTCAAAGGCATTACTGCAGCAAGATTTGCCACTTGAACAGTCATGGCACAGACACAGTAGACTCAGAACTGCTACACAGCACCAGCACCATGATCTCCTAGTTAGTCAGTGTCACTTAGTAGGCTCTTGAGATTAATCTGAACTGAGATGTGATAGCCTAAGACAAATTACACCTCCAGGCACCAGCATTTCTGAAACTGCCCATCATCCACAGTGCCTGCCTTAAAGATTTCTCTTTTTCCCCTCATAAATTATTTCAGGCTCCTGAAAGTCCAGCCACACTAGAATGAAAATGCTGGATCTGTTACTCTACATAGAGACATAGCTGTTCTTGATCATGGAGGGACTCATGTACTTGTAACTGAATGATGTTGCCAACGGTGTGAATTCTTATCTAATGACGCCTTTTTATATGATTAGGTTGACTTGAAACACATGCCTCCAAGTGGCATGCTTCCCTTTTTGTCATCATACCTGGGAGCTGTTATTAAAATCTTATTCTCTGAAGCTGTATTTTCCAAAGGAGATCTTAAAATACATTATGTGCAATACTATTTTAAAAACAATTATATTATCAAAGATATTTACCCCTCCAAAAAAAGTGAAACAATTTGAACCTATGTCTACCTGCATCTTTGGAAGTTCTCAATTCAAGTAGCAGCAGTTCTTTTTGCTTCTCTTCTGCATCTTGTATGGCAGCAACAGACTCCTGTTAACAAACACAGAAATGATAGTAAGAAGTAGAGTCAAGTGCACCATATAAAACACAGGCCATGTTGTGTGGCCTGCAGGATAATTATTGGTGGACCTAAGTCATTCCAGGCAGGGAATTACTGTGTAAAGGCAATGGGGGCACTGGCAAGACAGACATACATAGTGCCAAGGGTATGCTCTGCAAGGGGCTCTCACAGCCTGGTTTTGCCCACGCATTCAAACTAGTCCATGCTCAGAGTCCCACCTCTGAGCGCACTGCAGGGATTAGACAGTGAATTTCACCATGACAGCATCACCTAGACAATGTAGACATAGCCTACAGATACCAGCAAGAGCTCTCCTAACATACAACTTGTGCAAAAATCCTCCTGGCTGTTTTAAATTAAGATTAAACAATTTCTAAATACCTTCATTATCATGAAGAAAAATCACTACTCTTTCAAAGAGCCATTTTGGAAATGCAATGAAAAGCCTCAGGATTCCTGACCTTTTTTTCTATTCATATAGGCTATAAGAAATGTATGTAAGTACTGACTACTGTTTGCACAAAAAATGTAAGTGCACAAGAATCATGAACAGAGAGAAGTGATAATATACACACTTACATACTGTAAACCACAGCTTATATACTGTAAGCCTCTGCATGATGCTGGTTTTTACATACATTCTAAGGGGTTAATTATTTAAATGATATTTTTATGTTATTCAGCCCATAAATGACACTATGCTGTACTACACTGTGAAGCAGTTTAACAAAACTCTATTATCTATACTTACCACACTGTATTTCTCATGTTGTGGCTCCAAAGCTGCATCATTTTTACAGTAGTTGCAACAATGAAGTTTTCTTCTCCTTGACCTAGAACGATAGTTCCTCTCTCCACAATTAAGGAAAAATAAATAGAATTTAAAATGAATTTGCAGAAGCATAATAGGTTCGATTAGCTACTATAGGTTACAAAGATGCAATGGCAGATCACATCATGAAAAAATATCTTGTATATGCAAATAAGATCAAATTTAGGTAGCATAAGGAAGTAAGTCTCCAAAGCTACCACTTTCAACAACACAAGGCTCCTGTGAAGGGAAATATGGATAACAACAAAAATCTGAAGTGCAAAATATGTCCTTATACCTCATTCTCTCAGGAAAAAAAAAAACCAAACCCTTATGTATCCTATTTTCTGAAAATAAATAAATAAATAAATAAAATTCAGTAGTTAATAGAGTTAAAAACATCAGTGCCAGGCAATATGCAGCTGCGTAAATCAGCAACATTCTAATGTACAGTTTTTCCTTAAGACTACAGGCTAATCCTATGATTTACATTATGAAACCAACATACCTGTAACTTCAATAGTCTCAACAGGAAGCACAGAGTTCATAGCACTGTAAGACTTCAGCACTTCTTTCATTTCATCATCACAAGCTTCATCCAAAGCACATTTCCCTGAACCATCCCTCTCACAGGGATTCGCTCCATGCTGTAGTAGAATCTTGACTGCCTATTACATAGGCAGTCATATTATTATTATTTGCATTGTGATAATTCTTGTTGTGGATTTATAGTACAACTATATGCATTGTATCTATCATAAATCACAAATAATAAAGGTACAAATAAGATACTCTAAAACCTGTCACACTTGCAATCCTAATTAAACAAACAAGCTTAACTGGCTATTATCAACACAGACTTGTATCTTGCACTTATAGTTTTTCCATTAAAATAAATATTTCACAACTTGTCATTAAACCTACCATCTTTATGGTATTGTTAGGGAGAGCAATTACAAAACTTCCTATATCTAAATTAAAAGGAACTGGTCAACTGTATTAAGACCAAAGTGCAGAAAAGACGTGGATTTTTTTTCTTTAAGTATTTAATAGTGGTCTTGTTTTTTGGTTACATGCACTGATTATTTTTTCCTAATTCCAAATCACTTGCAAGTCTCCTTAATTGTAAAATGTGGAAATGAGATTACTGGTGTCAGTGGAATCATCTACCCCCTAAAATTCAGATCATATGGAAGTGTTGATGAGGTCAGAGCTTGGATGGTAAAGAATTTTCATACATATGGTTTCTCATCTTTAGCATTTCTTCTTCTTTCTTACATTCAGAGTGCTGTTAAGTATCAGAAAGTATCAGAAAGAGAATACTCTCTGCAAGTTCAGATTCTTCTCCATCAGTTTTCTCCCACCATACTGAGTAAAAGCTTACATGTTTTCAAGAAACCTGCTGATAGTTTGGCACCAGTGAAATCATCCCCTTCATTTTATCTTTGCTCACAGAAAAGATAAATGTGATGAAATATCAGCCCTTCTGCAGGAATAGAAGTGGTATGTTTGAGCCAATCTGGCATCACCTTTTTACACTCAGTTCCCTGGAACTCACTGTGCCAAACCAACATTTTATTTATTTATGTGCAGCTCTGGGCCCCACAATTTAAGAAGGATGTGAAGGTCCTTGAATGCGTCCAGAGGAGGGCAGCAAAGCTGGTGAAAGGGCTGGAAGGCATGTCCTGTGAGGAGTGGCTAAGCACTCTGGGCTTGCCTAGTTTGGAGAAAAGGAGGCTGAGGAGAGACCTCATTGCTCTCTACAGCTTCCTGAGCTCTTCTCTCTGGGATCCTGTGATAGGATGTGTGGGAATGGTTCAGAGCTGCATCAGGGGAGGTTTAGACTGGACATTAGGAAGCATTTCTTTACCAAGAGGGTGGTCAAACACTGGAACAGGCTTCCTAGAGAGGTGGTCGATGCCCCAAGCCTGTCAGCGTTTAAGAGGCATTTGGACAATGCCCTTAATGACGTGCTTTAACTTCTGGTCAGCCCTGAATTGGTCGGGCAGTTGGACTAGATGGTCATGGTAGCTCCCTTCCAACTGAAATATTCTATTCTATTCTATAGAACCATAGAATAGTTTGGGTTGGAAGGGACCAGTTAATGAAAAAAAATGGTTGATTTTTAAACAGCAGACCTAGGGTTTTTTTCTTTACAAAAAAGAAATTTTTTACAATGAGGGTGGTGAGACACTGGAACAGGTTGCCCAGAGATGTTGTGGATGCCCCATCACTGGAAGTGTTCAAAGTCAGGCTGGATGGGGCTTTGGGCAAACTGATCTAATGAAAGATGTCCCTGCCCACAGCAGGGGCTTTGGACTAAATGATCAAATTGAGAATGCTCAATTTCAGTATTATTTTGAAAAAGCCCAAAACGTGGGAGAGCACCATGGGGAGCTTCTGGATTTTTCTGATTTGTCCACTGGACTGAAAAAGTCAACTAACCATACAATTTCAACTGTCATTATTGAAAAATACTTCTTTCTCTAATTTTGATCACTTCAAAGAATATGTGTTTATTTCCTAAATGCAAGTCTACCCTAAAATTGTATTAGCAACTTTGATTTTCCTTATTTAAACCGGTATTTTGCTTTGCTGACCCTCTGATGGAAATCAGGCTCAGGAAATGTAATGAAAAGAAAAAGGTACCTCCAAATAATTGCCAGACACAGCATCATGTATTGGCAAAATACCATCCAGACTTCTGCTGTTAACATTAGCACCAGCCTTCAGTAATTCTAAGATCACTTCAGTAAATCCTCCATTGGAAGCTTCATGAATTGCTGTCCAACCTAACAAAAGCAAGATGACACATACAGCATGTATCTGATTTGGAAAGATCCACACATATCACTAATGAGTGATCATACATTTTACTGCATTTGCTGTACTATAAGCAATGGACTACTCTCTTTAAAAGAAATCTTATACAAAAAAACACCTTGAAATGCTAAGGTAAATTATTTCCTGTGTAATTCAGTTTACTTCAGAGAAAAAAATGTATCCAATATTAAGCAGAAAAATATTGTTTACTTTTCTACTACACTACTAAAACTAACAGAAACAAAACAATAGAGTAGACTCTAAAATCTCAGAAGCATAATATTAATAGTCTGATTTCTAATCCCAGTGGCATTTTATCATATCAAGTCTGCCAGGCATCCAGAATAGCATACCATCCATTCTGAGACTACAAAACCAGAAGTGTTATACATCTAGGTAGAAAAAAGAAAAAAAAAATCATGTTGTCTGATTTTAGTCCTCATTTGCTAAGGAAATAAGATTTGTGTGAATGTGCTTCACATGTGTATATTCAGGTGCATAAGCATTAGTTCTCCCACCGAACTTTGAAGTCCACTTTCTGTACATATCTCTGAAAATGTGCTCTTCAGCAGAGGAGCAAGACCCAATTAATGCCCCTGCTGAGAAAAAGGCTGCATTAGCTCCATGCTGAGACACAAAATCCAGGGATTCACTGATTGTGCTTGTACTTGCTGAATTACTTCCTTTCCTCCTCACAATTATATCATAAATCAAGAATCCATAATTATATTAAAATTACAAATTATATAAACCCATATATACTATAAATTATATAAAACTGCATCATAAAACAAGCCCATAAGAGAGTAATTTTCAAACCTGCATAGTCCTGTTCATTGACACAAATTCCAGATGATATTAAAGTTTTCACCAAAGACAAATCTCCTCTCCTAGCAGCAATGTGCAGCTCAGTTTCCCCTTTTGCATTTCTCTTCTTTTTCTTCTTTCTCCCAGCTCTTGTATTACAGGTACCATGTAAAGTTGCAGCTTCTTTTCTGGTAGATAGGGATGATTCTAAACACATATTGAGTATTCATTAGGAACCACAAAAAAATGTTACATTCTAAACAAAGAATTAAGCTTCATAACTCACTTGAATTAATGTAAATGTGTGCAATACTGTTGCCTTAATTAGTCAATAACATTAACTGACTACATCAAAAGGTTAGAAGGTACTGCATAACAGCTCAGATAACAAACAGACCCTGTGCAAAAGAATTTACATTTCAAACCAGATGACTTAACAAGGGTACGATGAATTAGGGATCAATGCAAAAAGTAACAAGGTTGAAGTTTTATACTATATAGAGGTAGGGAGTATGTTACATTTCTCTGTGAACTGCTTTCAAGTTACCAGGCATGCCTGCTAAATATGTAAAGTACACATATAAAGGTATTTAAGAAAATATATGAAAGTGAAGACTTGACCATGACCTCTTTTCCGCTCCTAATTCTGTATCAGGGAAGAGATAGGTTTCTACATAAGGTATTTTTACAGCTGTGATGTGAAAAAGTCCTGTAGACTGATTACAAATCTTTGATTAATGTCTAGTGACACAGCTGAACTGTCTTTTAATTATACCTGTGCAGGACTGGACCCATAATTGTAAATAAACTTGATTTAATCCTTCTCTTATTGGTTCACAAAGCAAACAACATCCACTTTAAATTTTATCATGTGATCATCAGACAGGTCCTAATTGTGAGGCTTCAGGTAACATTTCAGGTAACAGACATCAAATTGTAAGAGATACAAAGAAAAAAAACAGATTTAAAAAGTACTGATTCCCCCTCCCCCAAACTGGTACCAAAAAGACAGGGTGTATAAATCTTCAAAAGCTCTACCATGCATGTTAGCTTTTTTTAAACTCCTGTTCCTGCTGTTATAATACTGTGCTATCAGATTTTTTTAAAAGTTCCCTGTGTTCTTCCTCTGATTTCTTGAAAATCTGTAGTTTGTCCAAAAAAAGGAAAGTATAGGTTTTAAATAAACATTTTGCAACTCTTATCCATGTTTTTTTAATTATTCTTATGAATGGTTAGTTGCTGCATCCCAAGCATTTCCTCTTCTCATCAGACAAGCTGTCTTCTCAAATATTTTCAGCTATCAGTATCCATTGCTATCAAACATCTTCCATGATTTGACAGCTGCCTTTCTTCACGCTCCTCCTGCCTTCTGGAAAATCAGCTTTTCCAAAGTTTCCTGTAAGGTAAACTACTGAGCTTGTCATCCAGACTGTTTGGAAGAACATGAAAGTCATACTGCAACTATATTAAAGACAGATATATAGTGAGGATATATCCATACTAATTTTAAACCAGCTTGTTCAGGTATTGCTGCAGCCAGACTGGAGCTTACTGTAGGCTATTCTAACCTGTCAGAAAGCATTCAGGCAGCCCTCTTTGCATTGGGGGTGCTTGGCCCACACCGTATTGGCAATCAGAAGAGCTAAAGAGTTTCTTTTTTAAATGAAAACTGAGATTCCAGAGCAAACAGAGAGGTCATAATATTGAAATACTCCTCCAATCTGAGACCTACTTTTCTGTAAGATAATGTACTGTGTTTTGTCTAAAAGCTTCTGGGCCTGAACTCCCAAAGCAATCATCCACTTTCTGGTTCCTCCCTTCACTTCATGGGAGAATGTCCTAGGGACTCTTTAGAGACGTAGGAGAAAAAAAAGGCGCACAACAGCCCATTAAGCTAATGACTCTTAGCAATATTGTCTGCAAGTGAACAGAAATAATTGCAAAGTTTTCCAGTTAAGTTGTCATGCATAACAGTTTTCTTCATGGTTGTTACAAAACATTTGCAAAAGCATAATGGAACGCTGGTATGTGAATCACAAAATACTAGTTGTCCACGGAATGCATTGCCAGGTGCGTCACAAGCAGGAAGGATAAGGAATTTGGCAAATACAGTCGGCATGCATACAAAGATGGAGAGATTACAGTAACCAGCAATCCGACTAGATTAGGCTGCCATACCTCAGCAACTTCAAGGACATCCTCCTTCAAAAAGACATTTGAATACTTCAACATTGGTCTATGAGTAATTCTTTCCACAGACTGAACTATAAAAAAAGAAGCAAGCTGTTTGTACTTTCTTTCTGTATAAGCAGAAGAGGCATGTTGAGAGCCTAGTAAGTGACTGACTGTAGATGAAAGTGAGACTGCGTCATTTAGGAGGAGATGATTTTTATTCAAGAATAGAATAATATAAGGAAGACCACTGGGACACAGGAACAATCAGATGAGATACAAAAGCCAGTTAATGAAGAGAAGGCATGAGACAGCAAAAAACCTGAAAACCCTGCAAGTCAGAAAACATTATCCCATCTTCCACCTTTTTCTGCTGCAATCTGAATGCCATTGTCCCAGTCTCCAAAGCTATTGATGCCTTCAACTGTACAAAGGGCTATACTTTCTCGCATCACCTCTCAAACAGCAATGTTCTCCTGGGATGAAGGAAATAATTACATTTTAGCTGAATAAAATATTACCTGAAGACTCTCCTTCAGGGGGAAAGTAATATGTGAAATGCTACTCCAGGCGAGACCAGAATGTAAGACACATGTTTGAAAAAAAGGTTTTTTAAAATCATAATTTTATATATACGAGGCAAAAAATATAAAGGAAAAAAAAAATCAAAAATGTATTAATGCACATAGACCTTATGATTAACACTGAGCAGAATATAGGAGCTACAAAAAAGAACAACTCTAGGGAAAGGAATAATTTCTATGTTCAATGTTTATTCTTCCAATAATTAGCAGCGGATGATGACCTGTATCAGATATGTCATGGATTTTTTTCCAGAATGAAGTAAAAATGCATTCCTACAGCAGAAGGAACCAATTTGGATATAGGAAAGCTAAGTACTGACACTGCCAAATACTGGAGAGCAGTAAGTAACAAGAAGCACCTACTCCTTTCCTTCTCCCTTCAACTTCCAAAAGAAACTACAAGTTTGCAGTCCGGAAACTCAAGAGAGCAGGAACTTAAGATGGGTGGAAAACTAGCAACCACCTGAGACGGGAAGAAGAAACAGTGTTCTGTACAGCTGAAGGCAGAAGAGGACAAGAAGACTGTGACTATGAAAGAG